TAGAGATGAGCTCACGAACTGTTTTAAGTTTCACTAGTTAAAATAGATGAAATTTAAGCTCAAATGAAATTGTCTAATCAGGGCTGATTTTTTTCCCCCGTACCTGGGATCAAACTCAGGACCTTGTGCTTGCAAGGCAGGCATGGTACAACTGAGCTGAATCCCCAGCCCTAGAGCCAATTATTTTTAAGACATCAGCTCATCTTCCCCCAGACCTATTTAAGGAGTATTTTCCAAAATCAGACTAAAAAATTAAACCCTACATAATTACAAATCAGATTTGTTCCAGTACAACCAGGTCGCATACAAGTAACATTAATTAGTTCTGTACACAATGGAATTGACCAGGACTAAGTTCTGAACAGAATGTTGTAAGAAATAGATTCCTAATCACAAATTTTAAATTTCAAAAGGATATTTTTAAAATGACTGTAAATTTGAGATATACTTTATGTCCAAAGAAATACTTTCTGTAAAAGTTATATAATTTTTACAGGCAAATGCAAGTTACTTTTGTTTTAAAAATTGAGACTATTCCTTATTTCTATCTATTGTTGGCCTATTCTTCAAGAAATACACTGGGGAAAATGAATTATAGTGGAAAAGCTGCCCTTCACACGCTGTTCTACAGTACTAAGTCCTGTGCTCAGAGCTCAATTCCTTGTAGCTTAAATCTATTTTACACGTCATGAGCATCATTAGTGTTTCTCTTATAGCACTACACAGCTGATGATTTGGTGGGCACATCTAATGACTTCTACTACTAGCTAGCTATGTGTCACTCTTCTGGTTCTACACAAAGAAATAAGTTTTTCCACCTATCATCTTCACCAAATCTGGGAAGTCTTTCATAATGTCCCAGTTTTCTTGTTGCTCAAATTGCACTTTGCTTCTTACAGACTGTAACTCTGAAAGGGGACTATTTTTCCCATTACTGATAGCCCTAATTTTCTTGCTTTCTGGCCTCTTTGAAGTTGCTGCTTAGAAAGCTTCAAGCTCAGTTTCATAAATACTCTGATTTCACAGAAGTATAGTTCTGGTGCCTGGAGTTGTTTAACAGTCAACTGCTGCACTTACCCGGTTATCTTATTAGATATGCCAAACCAGCTCCTAAAAAAACCTGGAAAAGCTACCAGCACATTTCTGATGCTGCCTTCTAGATCCTCTACATGGAAGAACTCTACAAATCCAACTGAGCCTCTCTGTTTAACTAGCCAGTCCCTTGTTGTCAGTATGAGAACATCTGTGGTACTTTCTGCTAATGGTTCGATGCAGCTTTCTTGGTTTATGCTCCTCAAGTGTTCGGCCACAAAGGGATCAAAAGAAACGAGTCACGATCTTGTCCTTTTGTTTCACTGTAACACTGCCGAAAACACCAACCATCAGGCACGACAAAGATTTGACATTTTCTTCAGTTTTGGTGCCCAGTTTCTGAAGAAGCGTTGGAAGGCCATCTCTTGGTTGCGCTGCATGGTGTCCCTGACTCTCAGCAGGGTCTCCAATGCCTTCCTGTTGGCGGCCCTGGCCTTGTTCCCATGCCCAGCGGCTTCAAATCCTCCCATCCCACAGGTACCCCAAGATGAACTCTAGCAAAAGCAGCTTCTCCTCCTCATCTACCCCACCGCCCTCCTGGTCCTCTGTTAGAGATGGGTGGCAGACAGTGAGCCCTTGGTGCTGGTACTCTTCCTGGCCTTCCCAACTAGCTGGCTGGGGCATTGGTTTTTTTTTTGTTGTTGTTGTTGTTTTGTTTTGTTTTTGTACCAGGGATTGAACTCAGGTCCTTGCACTTGCAAGGCAGGCCACTGAACTGCTGGGCTAAATCCCCAGCCACCGGAGCACTGTTAAGTAACTTTCCAAGGTATACACAGTAAGCAATGGAGCTAGGATTTGAATCCATATTAATGATCCCCTCAGAATCTTGCAAAAGGAAGATCTGTTCTGTCTCTGCAATGCTGCCATTTCATTTAATCTTTACTGAAGCCAAGCCTTTGGCCACAAAGGGTTCTGTTCCACTGCTCACTGAGGGGTGTGGTTGTGGACCAGGGTGAATACATGCCCACTCAATCACAGAAGTACAGCTTCTAGGTCCCCAAGCTTCAGTTAGAACCTGTTGCAAACTCACTCCTCCCTTCTTGTATCTTTGCTTCCTTCCAATGGGGCTCCAGCTCCAGAATTATAGGTACTTGGTACAGTCGGGTCCTGTCCTTTAGGACATTTTTTAGGTATTTGCTAAATAGACTGGGCTGGTGGAAACTCATTCCTTGCTTATAGTGACAAGGGGCAGGGAGGTAGAGAAAAAGGGCAGTGATGCTTGTTACTGCTGATAGCAGGACTTGTGTGGGACTATCTGCTTCATAGCTTCTCCTCTCCCTGCCTACCATGGGTCCACATCTTAGGGTTCTCAGGCTCTGTGGGTAGAGTAAGCAAGGACAAGTTCCAGTCCCCAGGAAATAGCAGACAGCATAACAAGGCTATCCATCAGCAGGCCTGCTAGCAGCCAGGCAGGTAGGCCTCTAGGGTCTCCTCTGCTTTCTAGGGCAGCCAGTTACAGCGCCCACAGGTAGCGAGCTCTCAGTGAGCCAGAATCTCTGAAGATCTGGAATCTATTTGAGTATTTTCAAAAACATCAGAAGCAACCTATTAGTAAGTTGTAAAATCAATCTAGTGAATTCAGAGCCAGTATTTTTTAAAACAGGAAATAGTATATAATGTGCTTGGTTAAAAATAAATATTATTTTATGAAATTTTTTTTTCTAGCAAAGATACAAACCAACTTTGGGCTCACAATATAAAATGTATATTTCTCATTGTAGGTCACAGTAAAACACAGGAAATCCATTGCCTAAGGGCTCAGTGTAGAGATCCACCAATAGCCTGAGCCACTTGACAAGGTCTTGAGTACTTCTGCCTGGCCAAACTGAGTTGCAGATTTCCTCACGGTAGGCAAGGAAGGCTTTGCACTGGTCTCTAGAAAGTTTAAGAAATGGATAGCTGACTACCAGACTGGCCCAGCTAGGTGCTACCTGTCTAAAGGCAACGAAGGCCAAGAAGACCAGTTACTGGGCCTTCCAGCCCTTCCCACAGCCAGCTGAGCAGGTAAAGAGATGACTAATCACTTGAAGCATTCAGGTCACGTGTGGTGCGTGACCTGGGTAGGTGCTGAGGAGTCTCAGACTTGTGACTATCTGGATTTCCTCCTTCACACCCACTGGGCCCAGTCCCTTCTACACAGAACAGAAAGCCCAGGAATCAGGCCTTCCAGAGCCCAAGTGGGTATCCTGACTGGCCAGTGTACTAACACTATAGTCCTTCCATGAAGGACGGGCACTGGCTGGACCTGTGTTCAAGCCTCATCAGGAGAAAACTGCTGTATCAGCCTGTGATAGCACCTATTGCCAAACTGGTGTTCCCACCACTACCCTCTCAGGGTTGTTCACCCTGCCTCACCACAACAATAGGGACCAACAAATAGGGAGCATTTTCAGTTGCAGTAGAGGACAGGGGAATGTCCTTGCCAGAGAAGCCTTCTACTTGAGGGGGATGACTGATAAGTAGTCTCCATTGCTGCCTCTAACTGATCAGGCAGTAGCTGCTGTCTTGCTGCACTATTCCCCAGGCCAACCTTGCACTAAGTGGTAATAATTAAGGAAGGGAACTCTACCAGGCCATAAAGCTTCTGACTCCAGAAGGATTCCCCTGGGCTTGAGGAACAACAAGTTCACATGGAACTAGAGCAAGACATTCTGGAGGAGCTTAGGGCCTTGCTTTCTAGGTGAACACTGCTGGGGTAAGGGTAATTATGTTGAATTCTGGCTCATGGATCTGCTTGGAACTTGAGGTCCGTGAACTCAGAGATATCACATTCTAGGTACAATACTTGGCATTTCAGCTTTCAAAAATATTCCCTGCCTGGGTTGGGGATTTAGCTCAGTAGTACTGTGACTGCCTGTGCAAGCACAGGGTCCTGAGCTGAGATTGATCCCTGGTTTAAAAAAAAATTACACACACACACACACACAAATACATATGTACATATTTCCTGCTTATTCCCAGTGGCTATAAAAGAAACTGCTCCAGATGCCATGCTGGTGTGTGTGTGGGGGGTGTATGATTTATAGCTGGAGGGAGGAAGAGAGAGATTTGGATTTGGCTTCACTAATTTGGAAGAAAACTAACTGGATCAGAGCCAGGCCTGAGCCCTGGGAGGGCCCTTGCCATAACTGCAGCAGCCTTGTGGTACAGGGCTTTCCATCTGAAAGCCTGGAAGTTGTTTAGATATTAATTAAGCTGTTGGTGCGCTGTGGTGGGCAGACTAGCAGGCACAGCACCATCAGTGAGCCAGTGCTACCTTCTGCCAGAGCTAGGGGACAAATCTCTAATTGCCTGTGGGATGTTGCTACCCGAGGCACTGGCATTTTGTGGGCTGAAGCTATCCCTTTGGTTCAATTCTGAGCATGTGTGGGTCAAAGCACTTGCCTGATGAGGATGAGGCTTGCCAGTGTCTCTGGGGTCCGTTTCTAGGGGACCATTATTGGCCTCCTGTAGTCTGATCCTGCCCACAGATGGGCCAAAGTCTGATTCCTGGTTTTACAGAGTGAGGTCAGACTTCCAAGGCTGGGAGGTCATGAGTGGGTAAGATTAAAGAGGACCCTGGGAGCTGGGAGCACTCAACAGCTCACATGGTCATCACTACACAGCTCAACTCAGAGCAGCTAAAATCCACCCTCCAACACCCCACACAGGATCCTTTCCTTTATGAAGGGCAGACTTTTCCAAATGAAACCTTTCTTTTCTGCCTGTATCTCTAAAACAAGAGGGTAACAGTACTCTGGAGAGCAGGGGAACAGTGCTCCAGAGACTGCGATTTAAACAACAGGCCCAGAAGCATGAGGAACCCAAAGAGCTCAGCAGCCTGGGCAGATGCTAGGGAAGCACAAAGCAGTTGGGGACAGGCTCAGCCACACCCTTTATCAGCCCCACTTCCCCTCTTTGGTACACACCCTCACACTGGGGAAGCCAGGGATGTTGAAGTCTCTGCAGACTGCACTGTTGGTTTCGTCAGCACAATCTAGGGCGGCGAGATTTAGTGCCGGTCTCCACTCTGAAAGGACAAAAAAACCCTGGGTAAGCAAGAGGAGCTGGTGCTTACCTCCCTCATGCAATGCCCTCTGCTACCAACCCCACAGCACCTGATCCCAAAGCTCTTATGTAAAAGATCACACCTTCCTCACAAAGGACCTCAACTATTCCCTTTAGTCCACATTTAGCCAGAGAAGAGGCTTGTGCTTAGAATACAGCTAAAAAGCACAAATAATGCTGTCTTGTAATAGCATCTGTGTTCCCCTGGTACTCTGCTGGGTGGGGGTAATGGACTAGAAGTTCTGGAGAGAAACCTGAGAGGAGTCCAGCCCCTAGGAAAAGTGCTGGTAATTCCTCCAGCCATCTAAAAGGCTGACCGGTTCCAAAAGGAGGAGGGCAGGCCTTGGGGGGCTTGGGATTTCCTGGCAGAGCCTGGGTGAGGGCTTCTGGGGCTACAGGTACTAGTAGACAGCCCTCCTTAGTAGGCCAGGCATCAGGTGTTGGAGAAAGGAGGAAAGGAAGGAGAAGGCATCCAGAAATCAGGAACCACAGGGAAGGAAGCTCTGAAGCCAGAATTTGGATGATTAATCTTGTTCCCTTATTAGCCCCCAGGCCATGAAGCTTCTCTTCCCTGAAACTTAGTGGGAGAAAGAATAATGGCACAGGATGGGGTCTGGGAAACAGAAACCAACTCATACATCAGGCAGGTCTCCTGAGCTGACTCCAGGTTAGGGGCCCCTTGAGCATCCACCAAAGTTCTATTGCACACTGAGGCTGCTAAAGCTGCAAGACACACGAGGCCACACAAACTGTGAGACGGCTATGAATGCTGCCAAACTATATGACACAGACTTCCAAGAGCTCAGTCCTGTGGACTAAGACAAGGGTTTTGCAGGAAACGTGGAAATTTAATCTAACCTTGACACTCAGCCTACTTGACAAGGGACTTCAAGAGTGAGGAGGAGGGCCAGGAATTTAGCTCAGTGGCACCGTGCCTGCTTCACAAGTGCAAAGTCCTGAGTTCAAACCCTGGTACCCCCCGCAAAAAAGAGTGAGGTGTTGGAGGCCAGAACTGGCAGATATGGAAGGGCTTTAAAAAGACCAGGCTAAATGGGGAGAAGGCTCAGATGCGAGGCCGGCAGCCAAGGTGGATGGCAACAAGGAGGGGCCAGACAGCTTGCCTAGAGGAGTTGGGGTTGCTACACTGCATACTGGAGCCACTGGCATCTCTGGAGTAACTGAGCGAAGAAAGAAGCCTATTTGGTTGCATGGCCCCAACACAGGGGCCCAAGGCTCTAGTTCCCATCTAGGGCATATGTCCAAGGAGGCAGCGAGTGGGATTATACCCAACACTCGTCAGGTGTAGCACACCAACATCTAAATAACATCTCCACATCACAAGTTGCCAGAACCTCCAATCCCACCCAGAACCGGCTCCTTATAACTGGAAATGACACTTTCAGGAGGCCTAAAAGCTCACCGTAACATATTATGCTCAGGGAAGGTGTGTTATCTTCAGTTTCAAGAAACAAATAAAAACAAAACAAGACAACAACAACAAAAAAAACAGAGAAACCCTGAGCCACGCCTTGAAGGAAAACAACTAAGCTGCTCTTGGAATTGACATTAGGTAGGAGTGGGTCTCAAGACTTGAGGAAGACCTAAGGCCATACCTTCTTGTCTCCCCTTTCTTGCTGGAAGTCTGCTGTTGGCCCTGAAGTTTCTGAACTCTTGGCAGGAGGAAGTGAGCAAGGATAAGAGGAATTGGAGGAAGGGAGGACATGGATAGAAATATTTAGCAGAAACAAGAGATTAAGAGATATTTGGCAGAGACAGGTGAGTCACATCCCATCATACCATTTCCTCATCCTCTCCAATGCCCTACTTCACCAAACCCTTTCATTTTCTTGAGTCCCTGGCAAACAGTGGCAGTAGCTCAAGCTTAGCCATATAGCCATAAGCTGGTTTTGAGCCTCTGACATGAAAAACTTCACTTGAGAGCAGCCTGCACAAAAGTTGGTGTGGACTGCCGTCCTTCTCTACCCTCACCCCGTCCACTATGGGATTCCCTTAGTAGGGGCAGAGTCAGGGTAGTCTGTGTACATGGAACTGTTCATCTCAACCCACCTCCAAGTCCTGTCCACTCTCCTCTGAAATCTCTTTCTCTACACAAGCCCTCCCCTCGTTGTCCCATCCTAGGTAGTTTGGATATCTGATCTGCCTTCTTATTCATTTCCCTTCTAACCTCTTCTCTATTTCCAGTGAACTGGTGCAGAGGTCTTTTACGGCAGATCTCAGGATAACTAGGCACATCCCATTTTCCTTCTTGTGAGTTTTTTGATACTGGGGATCGAAGTCAGAACCTTCTGCTTGCTAGGGAGGCACTGTGCCGCTGAGCTACATCCCCAGCCCTTCCTCCTTGTGAGTTCCTAATGCACTTCACCCTTCACTGGTCTCTCCAGCCACCAAATGATCTTTTCTACCTATAGATCTGATAACCTCTACTCAACATTCTTTGGCGGCTTCTGCTGCCTTTTGAAAAAAAACTACAGCCATTAGGTGATTTTTTTATTTGTCCTCTGCCCACACATCTAGCGTACACTTACCACTTCCCCACAAGAATTAACAATTTCTTTTCTCCTCCTCTGAAAACATAGCTTGCTCTCCCATGTTCAGGCCACTCTCCATAAGAGAGGGCCTCTCCGAACTTAGTCTCCCTACAAACTTCCTTTGTCAGGACCAAATCAGTTTGAAGACTCTTTTCTCTCAGAAGAGCTGTCTCACAGCCCAGTGCTCAGGGGCCCCATTCATGTTTCTACCATACTATGACCAGTATGCCCATCTTCTTTTTGTTTTTGCCCTTTCACCGCCTAGCATCCCATCACCCAGCCTACAAAAGTGCTCAGTGAATGTCTACTGAACTACATATTTGACCCAGGCCAGGATTGTCTGTTGGCAGCTCTAGTGGTAGAACACTTTTTCTTTGATCTCAGCTTCAGTCTTTCCTCAGGTCCAGGTGGTAGGTGAGGTTAAAAAGCAATTACCTGTGATTATGCCTTACTTCATTATATGTCCTTTATTTAAAGAGCAAAGCAAGGTCACAGGAGAGAAGAGCTCCCAAATCACTGTCCAGGGTTTTGTCCTGGATCACATGCAAAAGTACCCCAGGTCTTTTCTGAGCTCCCCACCCAAGGGACCACTAGGAGAGGGTGAAAAGCTCACCTCCTCGTGTCATGTGCACACTCTAAACTTCGCTCTTTCTGTTCTATATGTAGGTCCCTGGTTACCTTGTTCCAGGGAGACCCACAGGAAAGGCCGGGCTGTTCTCAAGAAGTGTCAGTGTGACAACTACATGTAAAGGTAGAAGAGGGGCAATGTGATGGCCTTCTACCAGCAAGGGCCTTAAGATAATCAAATGCAAAGGCTTCAACTGTTGCTCCTTTCTCCAAGAGTACAAGCCATTGCCGCTGAGGTACAAAGAGTTTAGAAGGGGCATAAAGAGGAGAGAACAGGAAGTTAGACCCCCAGCACAGTCATCACACTCCACACTACCATCTGAGGGGGACAACATGTCTCCAAAGCTGCAAATGAAGACACAGACTAAGAAGCCTTTCAGCTTGTCCAAGTCCTATAGCTGGAAAACCCACTTTCTTCACTCCATCTCACCAGTTAGGGCATTATATCTGAATTTCTGCTCTTGGCTCCCATTATAGCCTTCCCCATGAGAGAATGTAGCAGGAAGTTTTATATTCTAGTTAAATAGCATTCTCTCTAATTCACAGTCCAGCCAGCATAGTAGGCTCAGTGCTTATAAGAGGAAGATGCTATCAGCAAATATACTGAGCTCAATATCTAGTTTAGCACTCTCAACAATCCCATGAGGAAGTAAGAAAGCAGTTATCTCCAAACCTGCTTTCCTTGCCTGTAAAACAGAGATATCAGATAACCATGCCCTAGTGATAAGTTAATTAAGGGAATCTGGGATCTGAACCCAGGATTTGAGCCTCCCAGCTAGTCTCAAGAGGGCTCAGGCCAGAACAGAAAACACTCTACTGGCTTCCAACCAAGACACAAGGATTAGGGAGAGCAAACCAATGGACAAGAAAAAGGCAATGCCTAGCAGCTATCTTTACCTGGGTCTCTTTATGCCTTGATTCCCACTTCCCTATAAAATGAAATAGGGCATCTTCTTACCTGCGCTAGCCTCAAAGGGAGATGGGGTACAGGCTGGGGCCAGCCAGATGCTCAGAAAGTCTGAAAAGGAAATGTTTCCCAGGACTATCAATGTCAGTACCTTAATGAGCTGTAAGGACAGATAAGGCTCTGGTTCAATAGTAATCACTGAGGACTTCACTATTCCCCATTCTAGTATGTTAAATATCATTTATAGGAGCCCACTGGTTTAGACTGAGCTCCTGCACTAGGCTCAAAAGACCAAACCAAAAATGGAGTCATTCATGCTGAAGTTCCATGTCACCACCCTGAAACTAAATTATAATCTGACCTTCCAAAAAATGAGAGAGAATAAACAAATCTCTACGCAGGACAGTTCCAGCTGACATGATAAGCCTTCTCCATTTTAATGTTTATAAGAAAAATTACTTTAAAATGACTAATCCACTTTTTGTTATCTTTTTCTGCAGTCTTCAGCCCTTCTTTATAAAGCCATGCTCCTCTACTCAGCTCATCAGAATACTCATTCTGACATTAACCAATTCAAGAATCATAAATAAAAGTCAATTAAGATCTTTAAACTAAAGTGCCTTATCTGAGTGTCTCACTGGTGAAGCAAAGCTTCACTTAAGAGCTTTGTTGTCTGGGTGACAGAAGCTTTCTGAAGTGTCCAGTGACTTAATACTACTACCCTACCCACTCTTGAAGAGAAAAATTCCTGGTGTTTATTGCTTTGGGCAGAATTATTTTCTAGTAACAACAGAGTAAATGTAAAATGAAGAGGGGAAAACAGGGAACAAGAAAAGCCAGAGTGACTATTGAGTAATGGATGGTGGGAATTCTGCTGCTCCCACATGAGTTTCTTCTGGAGTCACAAGTAGTGTTCCCTTCTCCACTACTGACAAGAGCAGGAGGCACAGGATCCAGAGTCAAGACTTGCTCACTGTCACAACTGCCAAATGCACCAAGAACTAAACATCTCCTTTCTGGAACTCGGCTTCTTCATGGGTCAAGAGAACACCAGGATAGATGGTCACAACTGCTCTTTCCACCTCTGACATTTAGGCGCTGGATGGCAAACAACTGTGACAAGAAAATGGCTATGAAGCCCCTGAGTTTTAAGCAAGCTGAGCCTTGATTACGGCAGAGGCACAGACTTACCCAAAAGGTACAGACTTATCCAAACCACCAAGAGCCACTAAAATCTAGTGTCCAGTGACTAGACCCTGCCTATTCCCAGCACCCAGCTCCCCACGTCTCCAGGTATCCTCTTGACATAGTAGCTTATACCATGCCCAGGTAGTCAGTGCTACACTGTCACCACCATATCCCTTCCTTCCTCCCTTCTGAAGGCTTCTGGGAAGTGAGGTCATAGGATGGACACAATGCTTTCTGTATCCCTCACACGTGGCTGACACTCCAGGTCTGAGTCAAGAAGAGCCACAGAACCAGCAGCAGATTCTGTTGCTCACATTCTCACTTGGAATCCTATGAAGCTCAGACCACTGGCTGCCATAAATATTGAGTGGGCTCCCACCCTGTGCCAACCTCTGTACAAGACATCATGTGGGGCCACGGATTTAACTCAGTAGTTCTGCTGCCTGCCCCACAAGTGCAAGGTCCCAAGTTTGATCCCTAGTACCAAAAACAAACAAACAAAAGAACAGAGAACCCAAGATATCATGTGTATGAGACATCATATGTGCCCTGAAAGGAAAGGTAGGCAAAACTGATAATGTTCACTATCACTCAAACATATATGCCTACAACTCTTATCTCCATGGCTCTGGACATGGTGTTTACCTACCTCCTCCACCCACCTCTTTTCCTGCCCTGGCTCTGAAGGTCAGAAAAAGATGGAGTAAAGAACCTCCACCAGCCCCTGGGTAATCTTGAGCAACTTACTTGTCTGTAAAAGCAAAAGATGTTGTCAGCATGGTAGTACATCTACCTGAGAGGCTGAGGCAGGAAGATCACAAATTTGAGGCCAAGCTGCATAACATCATAAGACTCTGTCTCAAAACAGAAAAATAAAAAGGGCTAGGGATGTACCACAACAGTAGAGCACTCCTGAGGTCAACCCAAAGTATAACAAAAAAACAAAACAAAACTAAAACACACTCTGATTCCTGTTTCAAAATTGGAGCACACATTGGAACTTGCTGCTCCTGGCAGGATGTGTTGCTCTTGCCAGAGGCTGACTGGAGCCATCCAGTCTTGAATTTGAACCTCCATAACTCTAAGTTCTCTTTCCCTCTCTTGAGGTCATTAAAAAAGAAACAAGGAACAAAGCAGAAAAAGATTAGACCTATGGCTTGGCTTGGGCATTTTCTTAGGTAAAGACCATATATATATATATATATATGGCATATGAATATGCTCTTATCAAAGTGCAGCATTAGACAAGTGTGTAATAAGTAACTGCTTAGATGAAGGCCTTTGATGATAGATTAGCCCTCTGTAAGTGTTCCCTTCTGTGAATTCCTAATATACAGAACAGATGAACCACTCCTTTAGCCCTTTGCAAACACGGGCTTCAGTCACCAATTCTCCTACTGTGTGTTCACTGCCCCAACCGCAATTTAAACAATGATCTATGACTCAACAAATATGAATGATTAACCAGTGTGAATAGTAATGAAGTTCTCAAATGGATACAATAAATTCCCTAAACATATGACAAGACAATAACAGCAGCTGCCCTGGAATAGAAAGAAGGAAGAAAGTCTTCCAGAAACAAATGCTCTACCCTTGGGTAGCAACTGCCTCCAAGAATCTACAACCCATGTCACTGAAGAAATGAGCCCTGTCCAGTCAGATTAAAAGCCTGAAGAAAGCTAGGTAGAACTGAAACCACCACCCCACCCCATCCCCGCTCCATGACCTTCCATAATCTGTGTTCCTGCCACCAAATACTTGTATCATCAGGACAAGGTATATGCCACACATATAGCACAGGTGGTATGAGAGCAGCTTAAAACCACTTTTTTCCACAGAAACCTCCCACCTTCCATTTACCCTGGTTCATCTCCACAAATTTTTATGCTTCTATTTTCCTTTGAGAGATTAAGTTTTGCTTTGCTTTGCTTTTTAAGACTGTCAGAACATACACCAGGAAAAGACCCTTTTTGGAAGTGACAACCCTCATTCAGGAGCAGGTTGGGTCAGTACCTGCATGCGTAATTCACAGGAAAATTCTGTGTTGCAACAGGCCAAACACATGAGTCAGCTGGAAGTTAATTTTTCTGCAATCTGAAGATAGAAAACCTACAGTGAGTCCCTCTGCAGTCATTAAAGACCTCTTATAGCCTCAAAGTGGAAACAAACTGAGAGACCTTTACGATATTCAGGACTGCCATGTCCCCTGTCTCTTTCATGTTCTGGTTCCATGATCCTTTCTTTAGCGTTGACAACACTAAAATAGTGCGAAGGGCTGCTCAGAGGTGCCCGTGCAGGCGACAAGACCAGAGAGGCATATAGGCAAGTGTAAATAAGAGGTAAAAGGGTTTATAAATTTTGTTTAAAAATTCTTTTCCAGGGCCATATGGCTACAAGATATACATCGTTTAATCTAGCCACTTCAGTAATCAATTAGCAAGCTTCTTAAGGGGCAAAGGTAGGCTGAGTTGGAAAATAGACATCTAAACTTTACTACATTTATTTATTCTACTATAATTGTCTTTTTGTTTGTTTGTTTTTTTGGTACCGGGAATTGAACTCAGGACCTTGCAGGCGGCAGAACTAATGAGCTAAATCCCCCGCGGTACTCTATTATAATTAATCAAGAAACGCCAACAGCACAGATAAGGAACAATGGCTCTAGTTCTCCTTTCTCTAGAAAGGTCTCCTCTCTAAGATGCCCACAGTTCTCATTCAATGACCATTTCAAGTCATGCCCTAACACCATCATCAGGAAGTGGTTCCATTCAGGGATAGCACATCAGAAACAAATCACCATCACTGTGCCACCTCCTTCCCAATATCCACCTCCTCAGTTAGGCAGATATGTGACACTACAGGGATCTTTAAATTGTAGAAATGAAACTAAGATATAGTTTGATACACAGAGCTCGGTAAGTATGAATTACCATTATTACCATATTTCTTTAGCTCTAAGACTTCAGCTTTTAAACATTTTAACATTTCTGCACTGCAGCACAACTTAAAAATCTCTATACATTTAATGGTTTTCTTAGCCAGCTATCCCGATGTCTGTTATTAAATGAATGGTGGGTCTCACAATCAATGGTGTCCTGGAATCAGGGGATTGCAGTCTTAGACCAGTGAATGGAAAAAGAAATAAAGGAAAACCATAAAGCTGCCTTAGGTCAGGTCTCTGACCACTAACACAAGGGTCCGAGAGGGGCCATGGCCAAGGGGAAAGAGAGAAGAGGATGTGGCCCAGAAGCTAAGGAGCTGGGGACAGCAGGTCAGGAGAGGCCTCGAAGGGAGACAGGAAAAGTGGCCAGAGAAGGCCCCCACCTCGAAGATAAGGAGGAAGGAAACCCATGAGGGAGCTGTGTCAACTAGCCAGAGGGGTGGAGAAAGGAGTGTGGGTGGCAGAGCGAGTGTCAGTTCCCTTTGCGCCCCAGCAGTGATCCAGGGAACTCGGCAGGAAGACGATAGGGTCCCTGAGCAAGAGGAAGGGACTGTTAAAGGCTGGACTGGAGAAAGCCATAGGTGTCAGAGGAGCCCAAGGGGGCCAAAGGGCCACTCACTACAGAGGTAAGGGCAGCAACGTGGCAGGGGATGAACGGGGCGAACAGAGGTCTGGGGGCACAGGTAAAAAGAGATGTGGGCTAAGAGGAAAACGAAAACAGACTTGAGGGATGCGAAGATGGGGACGTGCGTTGGTCGGAAGGGATGCGACGGCGGGAAGGGCGCCCGCAGGGAAGACTCTCCCCGGGGCAGTGGAGGGTCTGCCGGCTGGGCGAGAGGCAGCCCCGACTTCTCACCCTTGACGTCGTTGGCCAGCGCCTTCCAGGTCGGGGCGAAGGCGATGCAG